CATATCAAAGTCTCAGCAGAAGTACTCTGAGTTGTTTCTGTTCACACCAGGTGTGCTAGAAGTAAGTTTTACAGTACAAAGGCACATGAGAACCTGAGTGAGGAGTCTACAAGACAAACTGTGACAAGATAAGAGTTTACATGACAAATTGTGACAGACTAGGGGTCTCCATGAACTTGAGATAGGACACACAATCTTAGCCGCGCTGAACACCATGCCATCCAGAGTCTCAAAAACAACCTGGACATTGTAATCAAACCAGCTGACAAAGGGGGTGCTGTGGTCATTATGAATAAGGCCGACTATTACCAGGAGGCAACCAGACAACTCTCGAACACCACATTTTACAAACCTCTCCCCTCTGACCCCCCCTTGGACTATCAAAAGAAACTACACTGTCTCCTTAAAAGCCTCCCCACAGCTACTCGGGAACAAATCCTCACAGAATCACCTTCTGACCCCCGACCAGGATTGTTCTATCTACTTCCCAAGATCCATAAACCTGGGCACCCCGGACGTCCCATCATCTCTGGTATTGGCACGCTCACTACTGGTCTATCCAGCTATGTAGACACTCTTCTCAACCCCTTCGTAACCAATACCCCCAGCTATCTCCGAGACACTACTGACTTCCTAAGGAAACTACAAAACATCGATAACCTCCCCAATAATACCATCCTTGCCACCATGGATGTAGAAGCTCTATATACCAACATCCCACATGAAGACGGATTACAAGCAATTAGAAACACTATCCCAGAGGACACTACTGCCAACCTGATAGCAGACCTATGTAACTTTGTTCTCACCCACAATTATTTCCAGTTTGAGAACAACTTATACCTCCAGATCAGCGGCACAGCCATGGGTACCCGCATGGCCCCACAGTATGCTAACATCTTTATGGCTGGCCTAGAACAACGTTTCCTCAACTCCCGTCCCCTTTCTCCCCTCCTCTACCTACGGTACATCGATGACATCTTTATGATCTGGACACATGGCCAAGAAACACTGGAGATATTCCACAGAGATTTCAACAACCTACACCCCACCATCAACCTCAGCCTGGACCATTCCACACGAGAGATCCACTTCCTGGACACCACCGTACAAATCAACAATGGAAAATTAGACACCACTCTCTACAGAAAACCCACCGACTCATACAGTTACCTACATGCATCCAGCTCCCATCCAGAACACACCACACGATCCATCGTCTATAGCCAAGCCCTTCGATACAACCGCATCTGCTCTAACCCCACTGACAGAGACCAGAAGCTTCAGGATCTCTACCAAGCATTTATAAATCTCAACTACCCACCCAGAGAAATAAAAAAGCAAATTGAAAGAGCCAGACGAATACCTAGAAACCATCTACTTCAAGACAGACCCAAGAAAACCAACAATAGAACACCATTTGTCATCACCTACAACCCCCAACTAAAACCTGTCCAACACATTATCAATAAACTACAGCCTATATTGGAACAGGATACCATACTCAAAGAGGCTCTGGGAGACAGACCCATAGTCTCATATAGACAACCACCTAACCTCAAGATGATTCTTACCAACCACCACAGGACATACCACACTAATACCAACCCTGGTACCTTCCCTTGCAACAAACCCCGTTGCCAGCTTTGTCCACATATTCATTCTGCTGATACCATTATTGGACCTAACCAAGTAAGTTATAAGATCAAGAACACATATTCCTGCACATCCAGAAATATAATCTATGCTATCATGTGCCGAAAGTGTCCGTCTGCTATGTACATTGGACAAACATCTCAGACACTTCGCCAAAGGATTAATGCCCACAAAACAGATATCAGACAAGATCACAAAGAGAAAACAGTTTCTTGCCACTTTAACCAGAAAGGACACTCTCTAAATGACTTAGCCACCTGCATTCTGCTACAAAGACCTTTTACATCTGCACTTGAAAGGGAATCCTCTGAACTGTCATTCATGTTAAAATTCGACACTTATCACCAAGGACTTAACAAGACTTTGAACTTTCTCACCCATTACCAAGACAGTTTCCCCAATTATCACCTGTAATACCATTAACTCACAAACATCCCACTCTCCCCACCTTTAATATCAGCAATTCACAGACACTTACCTTCCTTCCTTCCTCCCCCTTCCCACCCCCCCGCATCCCCCTTCTGTTCTGCAATGTGATTTGTCCTTTTCATATTTGTTCATTTTTTTTAATTGTATCCTTTGGTATATATGGTTGTGACTACTTTCTTCCACTATTTGATCTGAGGAAGCGGGTCTGGCCCACGAAAGCTCATCATCTAATAAACCATCTTGTTAGTCTTTAAAGTGCTACATTGTCCTGCATTTTGCTTGAGATAGGAGGCATTGTAAGGGTCTTGATTAGAGTTAAGATGATTTCTCTCTGTTACAGGGAGAGAGGCCTGGAAAACTTTTAACCCTTACAGTAGTTTTCCTTTAGAGAGTTTTGATTTCCTGCACAGTCCCCCCTTATTTGATTTTTCTCCCACACATGGCAGGCAACATGTAACCCACCTCCCTCTGCTCCCATTTCCCAGCAGGAAGCCTCCAGGAAGTGTTCCCCAGAGGAAGAAAATGGGCAATGCCTGGGAGCCATTTTCGTTGCTTGTTTCCCACAAATGGGAAAGGAGAATGCTGTCTCACCAAGCCATGTTTAGCTCTGCTTGTTCCCTGTACGTGGGATCCAATGCAGAGCCTTGGGGCTTTCTCACCCCTAGGTAGCCAGTGCTGACGTTCTAAACTTGCGGGGGACCATAAGGCTGCAGCACCAGAGCTGGCTCCCTGCTGAGGAGGGGAGCAAGGAGGAGCTGAGTTGGGGCTCCCGAAGAGCCTTATCTGGTTCCCTAGAGAGCCATATTTGGCTCGCGAGCTATAGGTTGCCGACCCGTTTTATACAAAGAGAATTCGCTCCTACCCTGTGTCAGGAGGCTCTCCTTTTGTGGGAGCTCTGCACCGCTCATGCCATTCACCCAGTAACATCTTGTCTGCCCAGGTCGCATTGTGCATTGGTGTGCCATCTCAGCAGGTGCTTTGATAGGCACAAATGGTCCCTCAGAGCAGATGTGCCTTGGACATTTTCTGCAGGTGGGGGTTTCCTACCTGGGTCTGTTTGCGACTCGCAGCAACAGGAAGTATCCTTGCTTCTGCTCGCTCTTCACCCATAGTCCCTGGGAGATGCTCTGCTAGTTCTCTGGCCTCCAGCCCTGTCATATGCCTTCCCGCCAGTCCCTCTCATTTACAAGGGCAGGGAGTTCCAAGCACTAGCATGGTCTCGTCAGCATTGGTTCCTGCCCCTGTATCTGGACCTGATCTCGCAGCACTTGGCTTCGCCACCCAAACATTCAGTCTCTGCATCTCATGGCATAGAACTCCATGGTTAATCACCTTGGAGAATCAGTGTTCAGAGCGCGTCCAAAAAGTTTTGCTGGGGAGCTGTAAACACTTCACTAAGGCCATTCACTTAGCAAAATGGAAACACTCTGTGTTATGGTCGGAGTGGATGGGGTTCTCCCCTATGGAAGTCCCTGTCCCTGCCATCCTGGACTACCTTTTGGATCTTAGGATCCAGGGCTTCACCGCCTCGTCAGTCATGGCACCTTGCTGCCATCTTGGCTTTCCATTCAGGGTACCGGGGAAGACTGTTATGCCAACCCTATGGTACATCACTTTCTTAAGAGGTTGGACAGGGTGTATCTGCATGTGTGCCAGCCCCTGCCTCCCTGGGACTGTAACCTCATGCTCACTAAATTGGTGACTCCCCCCTTCAAGCCTTTAGCACCATCCTCACTGTTGCACCTTTCCTGGAAGGTTTCCTTTTTCTTGGGTACTACTTTTGCAAAGTGGGTTTCTGAACTGCAGGCCCTGACTTCATCTTCCTCCCCCCCTCTTCCCCCACACACCATTTTCTTTAGGGATAAGGTTAGACTTCACCCTCACCCACATTCTTGCCCAAGGTGGTGTCTCAGTACCATGGCATTCAGGATATATTTTTGCCTGTCTTTTACCTGAAACTTCACGAGTCAGGAACAGAACAGGCTTTTCGCACTTTAGATGTTAGACGTCCTTTGGCTTCTTATTTGGATGGAACAAAACCCTTTCGTAATCCCCCAGTTTGTTTCTTTAACTGACAGAATGAAGGGCATGCCAGTGTCAGCATATTTCGTCCTGGATCACCACTTGCATCCAGGCCTGTTATGTGCTGACTCGTGTACTAGCTCCCCCATTACAGCACATTTCACTAGAGTCCAAGTTTCGTCTGCTGCCTTTGTAGCTCAGGTGTCCATCATAGATATCTGCCAGGCAGCCACCTAATTTTCGTGGCATACTGTTGCAAGCCACTACGCTATAGCGCAGCAGGGCAGGGACAACGCAGCCATAGATAGAGCAGTGTTGCACTCTGTTTCCTTGTAGTCTCCGACTTTGCCTCCTAGGGGCTAGCTTTGGAGTCACCTGCATGGAATGGACATGAGCAATTACTTGAAGAAGAAAAACGGTTACTTACCTCCTAACGGTTGTTCTTTGAGATGTGTTGCTCATGTCCATTCGAAATCCTGCCTGCCTCCTCTTCATCGGAGTGTGCTGGCAAGAAGGAACTGAGAAGGTGGCAGGCCACTGGAGGATTATATGCATGCATATGCTGGCGCCACACCAGGGGGCTCCCTGCCAGCCCAATGGATACTGCTAAGGGAATATTCGCCTATTTCTGTGCATGCGGTGCGCGCACACGTACGTGGAATGGACATGAGCAACACATCTTGAAGAACAACAGTTACAAAAGGTAAGTAATTGTTTTTTTCTAAAGGCTTGCAAACAGTGTCTTTTATATCTTTACATGGGGTCTGATGTGTAAGCCAACATAATGCTGATACAATAGGAAATGTACTATTTTCCCCCATCTTGAGATGTATTTTAAATGTTCAGTTTTATGAAACTGGAAACTTTAATGACCTTTTTTTGCTTATCTATAGAACTGGAAGTAACCCCAAAATTAGGCGCAACAAAATCTGGGGAGGCCAGAATGGTGGTATTCTCGTTTACAATTCTGGTAGGTCCATTCTTTCATTTTTTCAGACAGTAAGATGCTTTGCAATGTGGTTATTAGAAAGACAATGATGTTGAATTTTTTTTATAGGGCTTGGATTTATAGAAGACAATGAAATTTTTGATAATGCAATGGCTGGAGTGTGGATTAAGACAGACAGTAATCCTACGCTAAGAAGAAATAAAATCCATGATGGAAGAGATGGGGGCATCTGTATATTTAATGGGGGCAGAGGTAGCATTCTTTCCTCATTAGAATACACTAACTATGTTGGATTGTAGCCTATAGTCTTTTAAATTGCTCTTCAGAAATTTGATTATTTGACTTTATGAAGTAGTAAAATATTTATTTAAAATACACTAATACTTTTTTGTCATCAGTTAAATCTGTACTACTAAACTGTAAGAGGCAAAGGGGTAATTCACCTCATTCAGGAAGCCTGTTCCATACTGCTTCTATAAGGCCAGACTTCTTCTGTATCACCTGTAATCTACATTGGTAATATTTTGCCATTTAACTCAAAGAAAAAGTCTGATGTAACCATCAAATTGAAAATCCCAGATCTTGGATTTGGAGGGAAGGGGGGTGTTTTTGTTTTAAATGTATGGTTTTGCCAATAACAAAGATGTAGAAATAGCCTGATTTACCCTATGGTAGTAAAAGGAAAATACCTTATTAAGAAATTAGGTAGCTAATCCATTGTGGATTATGAAGTTTTGAGTAGAGCTGCACTGCAGCAGCAAAGTACCAGTCAAAAATAGTGCTCTCCTTTTGAGATTACTAAATGCTGCTATAGATGAAAGAGCAGAGCACAAAAAGTCTGACAGATTTGGTTTCTTAAATACAGAGTAGCCTCTAGGTCAGTGTCTCTCCACCTTTCCAGACACTACAGTACAGGGGTACTGATTTATCTTGTATACTTCCAAGTTTCACCTCATTTAAAAAGCTACTTGGTTACAAAATCATATGTAAAAAATACACGTTATAGCACACTATTATTGAAAAATTGCTTGTTTTCTCATTTTTGTGATATAATTATAGATCAATTGGAATATAAACATCAGACTTTTACATTGCAGTGTATAAATACACAGAGCAGTAAAACCAGTCATTTTGACATTGCTTGTACTAATGTGGCTATTCCTTTTATATTGCCTGTTGTAAAACTTGGCAGATTTCTAAATGATTTGATATGTTGCTGTCTGCGTGCTCCCACTTGATAGCTGCTGCTAAAGATATATTACTTAGGACAGTGGTCCCAATTTTTTTAAACACAAGCTCACTTTCTGAATTTGTCATTCCAGGATCTAACTCACACCCAATACCCCTGCCCCGCCCCTACTCCAAGGCCCCGCCCGCCTTACTCTGACGTGGGATACAGGAGAGGGGGACAGAATGACATCAGCACCCCACTGCCTCTGTCTTCCCCACCCTGCACAACAAGCAGGATGCTCCAAAGGGGCAGCTGTGAGGAGCAGCAGGGCAGTGTGGGGAGGGGCAGCTGAAGTGCCAGCTCTTGATAGTCTCCTAGTCAAACTAGTCAGGATCTCCTGTCAGAAGCTCCAAGATCTACCGGTAGATCCTGATCTACTGGTTGGTGACCACTGACTTAAAAGCTTGTTTTAATGGGTCATGAGTCCCCTGTCTTCACTGAAAATCCTAGTTATATCCTTAAGATATGTATCAATTGAGAGTATCATCTCTAACAACCTGTTAATCCTTTCACTGAAATTATTGGTACTATGAGTAAAATATCATACAGATGGTTTATAGACAGAAACAAGATGATGGTTGGCTTTAAACTGGCGTTGTTGATTCTGTTGTAGGTCTCCTTGAAGAGAATGATATTTTTAGGAATGCTCAAGCTGGTGTTCTCATCAGCACCAACAGTCACCCTGTGTTAAGAAAAAATCGAATATTTGATGGATTTGCTGCAGGTTTGTATTCTTTAAATTATATTTGGAAGGATTAGAGCTAGAGATTTTAATTCAATATTTTAATATAACAGGCAAGCGTCCTTTTTATACAGCTGGGATTATTCATTTGGACAGTGTGAAATATTCTGCAGAATGTTCTAGAAATCATTTGGCATTTCAGAGCTGCTAAGTTACCAATTTTGCCGCATTCTCTGAAATTGTCAGGAAACTTAGGCATTTTCTGTCTCATCACATAGAATATTTCCTACTAACTGTTCACAGTTTTATTTTGAAAGTCCATCAGAGTGTATATATTATTGATTTGTTGAGAGTTGATTTCAATTTTCTTTCACTAATCCTGTCAGAGCAAGGAAAATTTTAGGAACAGATTTGTGAAATTCTGGAATCACTTTGTGTGGAAGGCTTCAAAACTATTGAAAATTGTATTTTTAGAATCAGTTGAATATGAATACTAAGTCTTATTGTAATAATGATGACTTTCACATATGTCTGTTAGAAATTATGCTATAATCCTTAATTCTGTTCAGTTGAAATTCTATGCTTGAGTTTTCTCCATTTGTCTTTCAGAAGAAGCAAGCTTCTGTGGAGACCTTTAAAAGGTCTTCTGTGTAATGCTAGGGTGTTGCCTAAATCAAGTTTTGGCCAACTAACCTGAAGAAGTTTGATTTTTGAACAATTTGGGCTTAATCAACAGACTTTTTGGATGCCCAACTTGACACCTTTAAAATAGGGTATAATTACAAAAAATGTACAGTTTCTAAAATCAAGCCAAGATGGGCACTTAAAAAAATCACATCAGCTTTGAAAACTTTGGTCTACTATACTGTCCAGTTATTTGAGAAACTAGTGGTTTGATTACTACAGTAGTTGCTAATTGATACCTATAAGAAGGGATTAAGTGGGAAGGTTTGAACTTCAGCTCTGTCTGTCACAGCACAATTTCTAGATATTAGTCATTTTGTCAATGTTTTTCTTGATTTTCTGACAGGTAAGAGGAAATACTAAGTGCTTAAACTATAATTCTGGAAGCTATAAGACATATAAAATGCACACTGACTAAGGTTTTTTGATTCTGTGCTACTCCTCCCACAAATACAGGTATTGAAATAACAAATCATGCAACTGCAACATTAGAAGGCAATCAGATTTTCAACAACCGTTTTGGAGGCTTATTTCTAGCATCTGGTGTCAATGTAACAATGAAAGGTGTGTATTTGTTTACATGTGTCATTTCTTAAAGATGAATGCCAATGTCGTAGAGTTTGTCCTAATCCTAGTGTCTCATTTTTGGTAGTATCAGACTTTAAATTGTCCTGAACCTAAGAACTCTGTCTAAAAGAAATAAGATGAGCTTTGTTCAGAGTTAAGTCAATAGCTGAACACCTTTAAAGTACTGCAGATTTCAAGGGAATAAAACAAAAAAAAAACCCTATTTTTTATCTAAATGTTCCCTGGCAGAATGTATCCCTTTCCACAAATCACTTCATTATTTAATTCTCTTTATACTGTTTAAATTGGTTAATTCCTTCTAGTATGACAGACTAGACTAAATTTGTGTAATCATAAGTCCTTGCTACATGAGTGAAAACAGTTGTCCATTATGGATTAGAAACTTGCTTTCCATGTCTGTTAAAGTAAGTAGCTATGAATCAGACACTAATGCAGCACCACTTTGCAAGTGGATTATACCAGTGGATGTGAGACAGCAGACTTGATTACCATGGTACCTGGGGCTTCTACTTGGTTCAAGGAGGAAAGTAGTATGGCCTACTGATAAGAACAATGTGTTTATAAATAGGCTTAGTGGATGAGACCTGTGTTCTGTCCCCAGCTCAGCTGAAAATAACTTTTTATAGTCTTTTACCTTATTTGAAAGCTAAGGGAAAATACCATCCTGCTCCCTAAAATATGGGTGTGAAGCTTTAGTGCACCCTATTGACCAAGTCTAAAAAATAAAACCAGAGCTGTTTGTGTATCTTCTAGGGATGTTAAAATGTGGGGTTAACAATTAGCCCTGGTTCATCAGTTAACCATGTACACTATCTCATCCCTAGTATCTTCCATTCTGGTACATAATTAATAATCTTTTCAGAGAGTGCATTCCTGAGGGGATGCAGAAGCAGGTCTTTACATTTAGGAACTGACCCACTAATCTGGCAGCAATCCTGACCTGGAATCTAGAAGGAATAATTTAATTGTTTACATATCAGGAATATCTAAACTCTAGCTTAAAATCCTGACATTGAGAATTCAACCTGTTCCTGTCATTCCATTGCTCCTGGGGGAAATCTGTGCCCACTGTGTGTGTGCATAATTAATCAGCCATTCAATATTTTTAATTTTTTGTGCAGAAAAAAGCTTTTGATGGAAAGTTGCTGCAGTGTTTTTGCCCACTAGAGGGCACTGTGGCAATAGAACAGAGCAGCAGCTAACCAACCTGGCAGGGAAGAGAGGCCCTATTCAGAGCTGGTCAGGAGACAGGGAATAGGGAGAGATAAGAAAGCATAGGGTGCTGGTGGGTGAGATTGAGACGGGCTGAATGGGAGTGGAGAGGCAGTGTGTCATAGGAACAGGGATGCGGAGGGACAGGTGGTCCAAGATGGCATAGAGGTATAGGGACACATTGGAGAAGAGGAGGAAGTGCCCAAGTGAGAGGGCTAGAGGTCAGTCAGAATCTGTATGCCCCCACCCAGGAGTGTGCTGTGCAGTTTACCATAGAGATAGGGGGCTGGAGGAGACCTAAAAAGGAATGTTCTGATAATCTGATCATTTACCCTTTATTACAGATAACAAAATAATGAACAATCAAGATGCCATAGAGAAGGCTGTCAGTAGAGGCCAGTGTCTATATAAGATATCCAGTTACACCAGCTACCCAATGCATGACTTCTACAGGTAAATTGAATATCTTTCATGATCTAATGCTGTTTATAATCTCCCCTGCCCAGCCTCTCTATGTAAATCTTAAATCAATTTTCTAGATCATACAAGTGAAGTACTCAGATGTTTGTTTTGGTTAAGAATAACATTACTCCTCCTACAAGGAAATCATTCTGTGCCTAACACATCGCCAACTATAGATGTTCTGGTAACCATTTATCAAGTTTCAAATCATGCCTAATGTGCTGCATTTTACTTTAGATGTCACACTTGTAACACCACAGATCGTAATGCCATATGTGTGAACTGCATTAAGAAGTGCCATCAAGGACATGATGTAGAATTTATTAGACATGACAGGTATGTTATATATGCATCCATTGGCTGAGCAGATTTACTATTGAAACTTAAAGCAAGTTTAATTCTCCTACTGAAGATAATTTTTTCTTCTAGGTTTTTCTGTGACTGTGGTGCTGGAACACTGTCTAATCCATGTACACTCGCTGGAGAGCCTACACATGATACAGATACACTATATGACTCTGCTCCACCTATAGAATCTAATACATTGCAGCACAACTGAATTCCTTTCAGCAAGAAAATCCTGCCATTCTACTATCATTAACTGTTAAACAATTTTTGGAGGAAATTATACTTGCCCATTTCTGCAGAAAGAGACTGTATTAAAATGGATGTGTAAGGTATTGACACTATGGAGCTCAACCTACCAAAAAGAAAGTGGCAATATGTTGACTCAGGATAACAGAACTGGGTGTTTTAGCATTACTGTGTAAACAAAGACTTTGAGGGGACAGAAGTGAAGAAAATAAGCTGCAATTTTGTACAGATACCAACTTCTGAAAAGCTGGTGTTTTTACAAGTAGCATTGAAACGCAGTCCAATTTGCAGTAGTACTATTCTGTAGACCGGCAGCATTCTTTGTTGCTGCTGTTATGGACATGGGTACCAATTGCTTTTGTAACATGGTAAAATGTGAGCTAGCACTTCTGCATTTCTTTTGGTTTTTTTTTTTAACATTTATTCAGATTGAAAAATATGATTTTAAATGCTTTAATCTCATGTAGTTTGTTTTTAATTTCAAGCAAAAAATCTTATTGTACTTGAATGTGTCCTGTTTTGTTAGCACACATAGACTTGCTGTAACTGTACTCATGTCCCAGTATGTATGTTCTTTCTATGAAAGAGAAAACACTAATCTTAAATTATATCCAGCAATTTTTCTGGTATTCTTTGAAAAAGTTAATCTCCTTCCCTGCCCCAGCAATGGTCTGTACTCAAATCACCCTAACAAAAAGCAAGTGTTTTAATGAGACTTTCTAGCATATACGATGCACTATAAAACAAAGTACCCATGTGAACTAAGTTTTTGTGAAGTACACATTAGAAAGTCTCCTCAAAACAATCTTGTATTTTACTGTTAGTTTTTTTAAAAAACAGTCTGGACATTATATCAACAGCGAAAATCACAGCAATTTCCTGCTATAATGAAACTGAGACAAGTATATATACAGCCCTATACAGTTTCATAGCTTTTTTCCATTTATGTGTATTGGTGACAGTGGGTAATCAACAGCCTGAAAGTGTATGCATGTACCATAACATCTAGACTTAATATATTGTGGAGTATTCAATAACCATTATGTAGAGAGTAGGTAAGAATTAAAAGGGTTTAATTTCCTAGGAAAGACAATGGAAAAATGGTCATTTTTAAAAAATAAAGTTTATTAGAGCATAATGTTGTCTGCAAACCACCTTTGTGAGAGAACCACCATGTTGCCACTTGTTACTGTATCTTACAGATTATTGAACGCAGTCATCAGTTTATGTACAGCTTTATCTCTTCCTGCATTTTCTGCCACCAGGCAAAGGTGCCTAAAGGGGAAAAAAAATTAAGTCCACAGTGCTAAACAACATCTATATTTAAAAATTCTATTAAGTTCTTCACTAAGTAATGTTTTCTAGGTAAATCAGGCTTCACCTTTTAAGGGTGAATCATGAGTGTGTTTCAAAATAAGGGAGACAACCTACTTTTGACTGCAGTCTCCCACTGTGAGACGAATGAAATTTTAATTTTGAGAGGAGGGGCCATCTTATTCAAATACTTGATGGGTTTTGTATACATTTTTCAAGGACTGTTTCCCTGAAGTCATGTAGTACCCCAGAACTGCCAAGGCATACCTCTTAAAAAAAAAATAGGTGAATGGATCCCTAGCACCCCTGTACTGAGAAAATGTCTGTGCTATAGCATAGCCACTTAAAATTAGGTGCTATGCCAGCTAGAGAGGTAACAAACAAATTTTAAAAAACAAACAAATGTAGGAAAGCTTACCTAAACAGTCTCAGTGAAAGTGTAACTTTCTCAAAGTCTCTGGCTTTTTTATGGCCTTTCTGGATAATTTCCTCTGGAATATTAGCAAGTTTTGCTGCATTGAAGCCATAGCTTTTAGGACAAGCTCCTCTAATGAATTTATAAAGGAATGTAATAGTTTCTTGGCTTGGATCTTCATTCTCCTTTTCAACCATACAGGCCTAAAAATTAAATAAATACTTATTCAATGCTTTTAGATTGTGTACATAAAACATTTCCTCCTTTCAAGACCCCTTTTTTGATTGCTGGTAAAGAAAAAAAATTGAGGCTCTGTACAAATTGTGGAACATGTTATACACCCCCCCTTTTTCCAAAGTGAGGCAAATACCTTTCCTTGAGCAGTTTGTACATACCATATGGCCTAGTCGCACAGCAGCACTATGTGAATAGTCCTCTACTAATGAATAATAGTGTGTTGAAAACAGTGTACGACACTTTATATTTTCTGCAAGTTCTTTAACAACTGCACTTGCTATAGCGGTACCATCAAAAGTAGCCGTCCCTCTACCTGCAAGAGAAGAAAAACCTTCACACATCCAAAGGAGGAGGAACAATTTTAAGTAAAATACAAGTTCAACCCAGGGATAACTAAAGCCAGATTCAAGTTATTTTACATGTCACTAAAAGTAGAGCCCACTAAATAACTAACAGCTTATCTACACAGGAAAGATGGTGCAAAACAACTCTGTTGGGATTTATTCCACATTAAGATCATCTATGGTATGGGGTGTTTTGGTTTAATTTACATTCCTCAAGGGTGAGTGACACAAATTATTCTGACCTAAGCATGCGTGTAAACAGTATTATTGTTAGGAGAGCTTTCTCCCACCCTCATAACTACTGCCTCTCCCAAAGACAGGAGTAGTTTAGCTGATGAGTGAACCTAGTGATTACTGCTGTGCATGTGGTGGCACTGCTCTAGTATAGATGTAGCCTAATTCTCCCTGTGGATGCTCATTCTGCACTAAGAATTTACAAGCCAATTCAACCTAAAGTAGGATGTGGATTTGAAACAGTTTATCTGAATAGAGGAAAAGTGCCAGCAATTATACTGATTACGCAAGATGTCAAATGTTTGTGTGAAATACCCATTATTTTTTAGATGCATCTCTTTGCTATTGCTGTTTGCATAGGTATTATAAAATCACTAACTAGCACGGGCAATCCAAGGCAGCAGTTGCCTTGGATATTCATTCCTCAGCAATCCCCTCTCCCAAATCTTAATTCCATGCCTGACAGCAGTCAGGTGTCCACCGCAGTGGCAGGAAGTGGTTGATGGGGGAGGGAAAAAATAGTTTAACAGTGGCTCCAAGGGTAAGACTGACCTGCAGTAGCCACTGGAAGGTGGCCACTGGAAAGCAGTCAGCTTTCAGTGGACATCCATCAATATTAAAGAACAAACAGCAGCAGCATTACAGCTAATCCATTTTGAAAGATCCAACATGCTACTGTTATTAGTACATTAACTCGCTTCATGGCCTATCCTGTAATCTTAGATTTTATTTCCTTATCTATAATGGAGTCATAGAAATGTGCAGTTGGAAAGGTGAGCAAGAGGTCATGTAGACCATTCCTGATAAGAACAAACACTTAAGTCTCCAAGTGACACATTTCAAAACAGATTTTGAAGCTTATTCTAGAACTTAATTTACCCTTATTATACTTGTTAGATATTCAGAAAAATCTTTCTAATGCCTCTTGCGGCAGATTAAGCCTACCCTTCAGTAGCTGTGGGGAACAACTGATCACTCTTCTCTTAACATGCTGAAGGCTTATCAGACATTTCTCAGAACTGAACAAGTAGGCTGTGTCTACATTGGTGTGATCTTGCGCAAAACTTGCTGCCTGTCTACACTGGCGTGGAGTTCTTGTGCAAGAACACTGATGTTCTAATGTGTGAAATCAGTGCTTCTTGCGCAAGAACTATGATGCTCCCACTCAGGAATAAGCCCTCTTGTGCAACTGTTCTTGTGCAAGAGGCCAATGTAGACAGGCAACATGAATTTCTTGCGCACGAAAGCCCGATGGCTAAAATGTCCATCGGAGCTTTCTTGCGCAAGAGAGCGTCTACACTGGCATGGACACTCTTGCGCAAAGGCACATGCCAGTGTAGACACTCTTCTGGAAGAGTTTTGCAAAAGAGTTCTTGTGCAAAATCATGCCAGTGTAGACGGAGCCGTAGAGTTTTCCTACCCTTTCCTCATTGACCAAGTTTTCTAAACTTACCGTTTTTGTTTTCCTTCTGGGCTCCAGCTGAAGCCTCACCAGTATGGAATATAATGTAAGACAACACTCGTATTGATGAGCTCCAGAATAATAGCCCTTCCCCTCTATTGTTGACTCAGATTATGATCCATTATAACCCCAAAATCCTTGTCACTTGTACTACTACTGAGCCATTTATTCCCCATTTTACAGTTGGACATTTGATTTTTTTCCTTCCTTAGTGCTTTGCACTTGTCTTTAAGGATTTTCACCTTGTTGATTTCACACTAATTCTGTAACATAAGATCATTTTGGATTCTAACTGTCCTCCAAATAGCTAGCAGTCCCTCCCAATTTGGTGTCATCTGCAAATTTCACAGGCATACTCTTCTCTCCAAAGCCAATGAAAATACTGAATACTCAACCTGGAACCCCTGTGGGGCTTGACTAGATACAGTCTCCTGGGTTGACAGCAAACCAGTCACTTGGAGTACAGCCTTTTAACCAAAAGCTACTAAATTAGTCACATTTTCCTAGTGTTCTAAAAGAATTATCTGAGACTGCATCAAAAGCCAATCAAGCTATAACATGTCTATAGTTTTTCCACCAGTAATCCTGTCAAAGGAAATTAAGCTGGTTTGGCATGCTTTATTCTTGATAAATCCATACTCACTATTTCTTATAAGCGATTATCCTCTAGGTATTCATAAATGGTTTTAGTTCCAGTAGCTTTCCAGTTAGTCTGACTTATCTATAATTTTCCAGATTCTCTTTTTTTAAAGGGTAAAAATATACTTACCTTTCTGGTCTCTTAAGACCTCACTTGTCCTCCATGAGTTCCTAAAGAAAAATTCTAATGGTTCCAAGATTGCTTCAGCTAGTTCCTTAAAGTACCATCTATGATTAATTTTACTAGGCCCTGCTAACTTGAATATCTAACCTGCTCTTAATATATTTTGGCTTGTTTCTTACCCCATATTAATACTAATTGTGATGATTACATGGTCACCATTAACCTTCTAGTAAAGACAAAACAGACATTAAACACCTCAACCATTTTTGCGCTGTCAGTTATTAGCTCTTCCCTTCCAAGGAGAGGACCTGAGTTTTCCTTCAACTTTCTCTTATGCCTGATATATCACCATCTTTTGTGGTTACACTTCTGTATATATTTTCTGCCTTAGCTTTTCTGATTGTCACTTACATGCCTATTCTAGTCTTCCCTCCTTAACAATTCATCCATGTTTCCATTTTTATAGGACTTCACTTTGATTTTTAGATCACTGAAAGTTATATTGGCTTATTATTCTTTCTGTTTTCCATCACATCAGGAAAGTTGGCAGTGTACACAACTGCCAACTCTCCTGAATATCTTTAGCCCTGAGATTTTCTTCCCCTGGCATCTTACTAACTAGTTCTCTAAATTTGTTAGTGTGCTATTTTGAATTCCATTGTGCTTAGTCTGCTGCTCATTCCTCCCTTTCCTTAGGATCACAAACTTTTATTTCATAGAATCAGAGCTGGAAGATACCTCAGGAGGTCATCAAGTCCAGCCCCCTGCTCCAGGCAGGACCAATCCCAATCATGATCACTTTCATCCAAATTGTCTTCCATCTTCAGATTTGCAACCAATTCCTCTTGTTGGCCAGGAAAAAAAAAGTCTAAAAGAGCTATCCCTGCCACTCCCCCAGTTATTTTCAGAAACAAAGCATTCTCCCCCATACATTACTAGACTTTATTAGAAATCATGCTGCTGTATTAATTTTGCTACAGATGTCTGGGTAGTTAGAAGTCCCCTATTAGAACCAGGTTTTATGTTTTGGCTATTTATTACTTGTTCTAGAAATGTCTCTTCCTCCTCATCTTGGTAGTCTAGTACACCCCTACCCTACCATAACATCCTTTGTTCTTCCACCCCTACTCAGACTTTCAACTGAGCTACTTCTTCTAGGCCTCAAAGCATGTATGTATTCTTGATGAATAATGCAACATAACAACCCCCCCACGCAATCCTGTACACGCAATATCTTTCTATACCAATATTCCAATCATAAGTTATCCACAAAATCTGATGTCAATTCAGTTATAATTTAGCTTATGTACTAATACTTCCAATTTTTCCTGAGTATTCTCCATACTTAAAAGTACAAATACCTAGTTCATCCACAAGCACAAGGGAATGCTCTGTTGCATGCTGGAGTATACTGGAAGTCTCGCTCAGTTCAACAAAAAAGGTACTCTCTCCTAAAAAGGACAAAAACAAAGCTTCGTTCAAAGTGTATCAAGGTTTTGCAGAGGCAGGCACCTACGACATACAGTTCAACAATACAATATGTTAGCTTGCTGAAAGTTTCCAGTTTATTCTGTGACCAGAGCTTTCGCAAGAGCATCTTACTAGGAAAAACTGAGCTTAGAACCCAATGACAGCTTGAGCAAACAATGGGTAAATTTAAGCAGGTGCTTGTCATAACATTTAACTCCATTTTATTAACATTTTGGAGAAAGAAAGCCCTTGTTACAGATTTCAATTTAAGATAAAATTCAAATATCCAACAGATTCTTCAACAACAACAACAAAATTAGGCCTAAACTTTCTGCTATTTCTAAAGACAGGTTACTGCTACTTCGATTCTATCACAAAATGCAAGACCTTTTTCTCAATGGGACTCACCTGGTTAGAATTCTGAATGCACACAAACATACATACAAGATGACAGACTTTGCAGCGGTTATTTTTAAACAGCCAGATTAACCAAAATATGAATTTATTCTCCCAGTCAGGGGAGGGCAGAGGGAAATCTTATATAGACTTAACCAGCAACACTTCTCAGCAAAACTGACTCCAAAAAAACCTTCCATCTTCTCAGAAAGAATTTTGAATACTTGCTGCTGCTTTAAATTAACTCTTCAGGTCTATCAATTTTCCTCCTTCCGCTGACTGCCTTGAAGCTGCTTTCTCACCTCTCACTTAAATGTTTAAATGCTGATGTTGACAGTCACACTTCTAGCTACTGTTTGCATTAATTCAATATGTATGTGGTTTTCTAAGATTAAGGTTCTAATTGAGGGGCCTATGTTAAATGCTATGATTGCTCTAGATCATGTCTTTAGAGAGGAAAGGAATTTCTGCAAGAACTTTTCATTAAGAGAAATAAAATTTAACACTGAAGAGCTAAAAATCCAATCCAATCCAAGACCGTATATATTCAGTTCCATGACTGCAAAGAAATGCCATGACTTTTTTTATACAAAAGTAGTCATCCATTGGAGTGCAAATATTTTTACATTTGTATTTCAGTGTCAATACCTGAATACTACAAATCGTGATTAAGTCTTGGAATTGAGAGGTTAAATCAGGCTCCAAATGGAGCTTCTGTTCTAAAAATACGAGACTTGCTTAAAAAAAAAAAAAGGAATTATGCAGTCAGTAGGGTTCAAATACTTTCTTGTGGACCCTTTAAAAACCACATCTATAGGGATTACAGAAAAGAACAACCCTAACTCTATTTTAAATTCAAAACCCCTACTTCCCAAGTTGTCTCTAAATGGGATCTTTCTAACTTTGTGTTAGGACAATATCCAGAATTCATTAATAAATTCAATATTTTATAGTTGCTTGGCTTTTGAGATTCTATACTAGTAGTGGATGAGATTCTACAACAAAAACATATCAACCTTTTCAGATTAGGACCAAATCTTTCTGAAAGATTATACAGAAAACAGATGATACACTACAAAAAATAAATGAATTATGGAGGAATGGATTGTATTCCTAGTACAACCAAACAGACCTGATGCAGCCAGAAGTCTAAATTATCCAGAATATGCAGACTGAGTAGTTCTGTTCTCCTTCTGGCCTTAGCCCTTTAAAGGGGCCTTTCCTAGCCCGACCTATTTCAGAAGCATTGTTTGACCACCTTTGTTGGGCATACCTAGAGCTGAATTATCCTACTCCTCCTATCCAGAGGAATCAGTTGGGTAAAGCCTGCTTCTGAAGCCAGGAATAAACATTCTCTGCGTTCTCCCGCCACCAACTAATAGCGTAAGCAGTTTCTCCACCCCTACTAGCAAGCCCACGCAATCAGCTCCATTCAGTACAGTCACTTCAGATATTTTGAAGACTCAGCCACAATCCCAAGCAGCAGTAACTGAACGCAGTGAAGTGACAGTTCAATAGAGCAGGTCTTCACAAGCCTCTGTAGCAGCTTTACAGCAAAGGGTTGGTCTATGTCTACTTCCTGCTTGTGGCCTAGCAGCACCCACAGCTCTAGCAGCATCTCAGGCTACGTCTAGACTGCAGGCTTTTTGTGGAAGAGATCTTGCGCAAAAACTTATTGTGCAAGAGCACATCCACACTGCAAAAGCACATTGGAAAAGCAATGCACTTTTGCCCAAGAGAGCGTCCAGACTGCAAGAGCTCTTGCACAAAAAGGCTTATTCCTTGTAGAAAGAGAATTAAGTCTTGCACAAAAATGTGCTTGCACAGTGGACGCTCTGCAAGGTTTGGGCAAAAACTCTGCAGTCTAGACGTAGCGTCTGGAAGATGGATTACAAGGTGACTGCTATTCCTGCTCAGTTTATGAATCCATAAATCCTCATGTCCCCACCCCCCCGACACTTACACCTGTGCCCTACAGTCATGCCATCCCTCAAATTGCTGCTGGGCAACATTTTCCGCCCTGGCTTCCTTCTCTTTTCTCTCAGTAGATGGCTAAGATAAAACATTTCAAGAAATCTATGAGCCCTACTTTTCTCCATTCTCTGAGTAAACAGGACTCAAACAGAGGCATTTTGACATCAGAACCTGGACAAGACCCTTAACACAAGCCACTCTGTTTTGGAGACTTGAGGCAGATGAAGTTGACAAAATAGTTAATTATCTCTGTTCCAAAGTACCCAGAAAAGACTGCTATGCCCCCTGCTCGCTATACTCACCCTTTCCCCAGAGAGAAGGGAGTTGGTATCTGGCTAGGGATAAGTGTGTGGCCAAAGGCAGGGTGCAGGAGCAGGCTGGGGGTAGGTGTTTGGCCAGGGGGAGCGTGAAGGAACAGGCTGGAGGTGCAGGGTCTTGGCAGGCTGGTGAGTGAGTGGGCTTGGAGTGTGGGGGTCCAACCTCCACCCTCCCATGAGAAGGAAAGAGGAAGGCCTCCCTGCTCTGGACCCCCGAAGGAGGACAAAGGCATGTGGTTCCTGGGCCCCCTGCAAGGGGGGAGGGCACAATGCTCCCGGGCTCCCTCCTGCCCCGCTGGAGTACCAGGGAGGGGGAAGGAGGGAGGAGGCAGAGCAGAGAGGACAGCAGGACACACAGTGACATGATGATGTCACTGTCATCCCACAGGACTTTTTTTTTCATATAGAGAGATTACGTGGACTTGGCATCAGCTGTTTAATTTTCAGATACCTCAAAATTTGTCTCCCAATGTAGACTTCAATTTCAAGGGTAATCAAGAGTAATCCTGGTCTCCCAGACATAATGGACAAGCATGTAGAATATCCACACACAGGGTCCTGTTTCAGCCCTGACAGTCACCCCTCTCCACCATGAGACAAGCAAGTGAAAAACTGTAGCTGGTTAGTCTCTTTAATGCAGGATGACATACACAGCTTCAGGCCTCAGACTTGATCCAGTAGCAAGGGAGCAGAATTGTACCCAATTATCTAGAGCGGGGGGTGGGAAACCTTTTTTGGGTCATGGGCTGCTGACCCACAGGAGAAAAAAAAAATCGGGAGCCACACAAAGTTTAGAAGAAAAAAAATACCCACAACGCCTCACTGACATGGCCCCCAACTGAGGAGGAGAAAAACACTCCTCACATTCCCCTCGCCCAGCAGAGTTGAGAGAGGCCCAGGCTGGTAGAATCTGTCTGCTCCAGTACTGTGGGAGGTAGACAGGGGGGCTGGAATGCCAGTACAGGTTCCTCTGAGCTTCAGGAGCCAGATCCAGGCAAGCTGGGGGCTGCATCCAGACCCCGGGCCTTAGGTTCCCCACCTCCCTAGCATTGGGGAACCCATGCTATTGCTTCAGCCCTCCTAAAGAACTACCAAATGAATAATTTGAATCTATTCAAGGACTTTTACCACCTACTCAGTTATATATTTGTACAAATTTTAGGAACTCACCTGACATAATTCTGTCCGAGGCACCTAGTCTTGTAAATACTCTGTCAATAGGAGTAAGCCTGCAAGTTTCAGCAGGTACATAGCATCCCAATTGAGCCATTATTACCAAAAGGCCAGCCTGCAGAAGGAAAAAAAGCATATTACTGACCTACTTTTCTCCTCCCACATGCTTTGCACAGTGATTTAGTTCCACAGTAAGAACCAAACTACATCTTCCCCCACAAATGTTACATTACTTTAAATGCCAGCTAAGTTTACAAGAGTGTCAGATCTCAAGTTAAGTAAAACTGAACCTACCTAATAATCAGACAGATCTCTGAAGAAACAAGACTGCAGGAAATAGTTTTGAGAGAGAGGAAGTAGTGAATTGCCAACACCAAATATTTCATTATCCCAAGAAAGGTAGTGTGTTATGAGAAGCACACACTGTCCAATATAATAAAATCCTGAATCCACCTACATTTATTACAGAATCCCTGCCACCCTTCCTGCAAACAAGAGTATCAATCTTGTTTCTCTGGCTAAATTATTTTAGGTAGGTTACATCCTTCTTATGTAAATATTTGTTGCATTTTTCAATCAGAAGATCTTTCACTTTATAGCCCAATTTGCTGACATGTTGCTGAGCGTGATCAGGCTGTATGACTACACTCCAACCTGGAGGTTTCAATGGTGCAGTTAATTCCTCGATGTAATGTTCTTTAGAACCCTGGAACAAAAGGTTTTTTAAGTAACTATATTTCATAATCACCTGTCTCATTAATGTAGATTTGCCACCCATGTTTGGGCCAGTCACTAAAACACAGTAGGCTTCACTATTGCAGTCTTCATCTTCATTTTTGGAGCCAATCACAATATCATTCGGAATAAAATCATCTCCAAAAAATGTTTTTGTAATGCATGGATGGCGTGAACCTTTAAGTTCCAAGAAAGGTGGAGTACTCAGTTCTGGCAGTAGAAGTACAGGTCGGCAGAATGGTCCATCACTCTCTTGACTATAGCGAGCAAGGCACATCAAGACATCTACAAAAGTTAGAAACATTCTAATTTGTTATAAATTATCCCCCATTCCTGTATTTCTCATTTTGCATGCAGCAGTTGAGAGGAGTTTCTAAAAAATAAATGATCCCTTCTTCTCAGGAGATTACCCTTGCAAACCTAATACATTTTCTGAAGTGAAGACTAGTGGAGACTAAAAATTTTGTATTCCCACCTAACTGATTTTATTGGAGCTGCTCAGAAATAATTTCTTCTATTGGGTATTACATATAAGCCTTCAATATCTTGCCCAGTGCTTTGGTTAGAAGGCAAAAACTCAAATACACTAACTAAAATATGTATGTTACTGTGCATCTTACGCTAGCTTCCCTCTGGGTTCTGACAGAAAACATGGGGAAAAATGATTTCCACACCAATGAATTTACAGCAAAAAGGGAGTCACAAGTTTTTCAGTTACATTATTCTAATAAATTTCAAATGAAGTTTTAAAATATTAAAAGTCCGTTGTCCTATTATGATGGATACAATCAAATTAATGTTATTTCAGCCTAATACATCCCACAGCTGGAATGTTTATGGCTCTAACTTCAACGCATGGTCACCACAGCTGTGCACTCCTTAAATGTAATCCTTTCCTAAGCTTTTAATTGCCTCAGACTGGAGAACCCTGCTTTTTGGCAAGGGCCAGATAAGCAGGGAACTCATCCCAACAAATATGATTGACACCTATTTTAGGTGTCCTACTCCCAAGGAACTGCCTCTGCCAGCCCCAGTCCCAGAACACTAGGGGTATGTCTACACTACCACCCTAGTTCGAACTAGGGTGGTAATGTAGGCAACCAGAGTTGCAAATGAAGCCCGGGATTTGAATTTCCTGGGCTTCATTTGCATCTTGCCGGGCGCCGCCATTTTTAAATGTCCGCTAGTGCGGACTCCGTAGTTCGAACTAGGTAGGTCGGATTAGGCTTCCTATTCCGAACTACCGTTACTCCTTGTGAAACCAGTTAACCAGCACCCCAGCCCAGCCAAATCAGTCCACTGCCCACAGCACACCACGGGTAAGAGGAGCTCCAGCTCAGCTGGGCCAGACAATGTGGCAGGCCTGTTAAACATATAGCTTAAACAAGATTTTATTTTCCAATTATCTTAACAAGCAATTTAAAAAGTCTTACCTAATACAGCAAAGCATTCCACTGCTGTTTGCCAGTCCTTGCTATTTTTATCAAAGTTGTAGAACAGTCTCCTCATACAGTCTTTCAGGGCTGCATCTCTCCGTTCTTCAGCATTGACCATCTCTGCCAGCATCTTCTCTATCTCCTTGGTCCAATAACGTTTATAACCCTTTCTGGTGGACTTCAGTTCATATTCCTCAGGCAAATTATGTGATATTGCATTTTCTGGGATTTCCATTTGGTAGCGGTTTTTGCCTGCTCCCCAATACAGCATAGCTCTGAGTCCAAGTCGTTTGCGTTGTTTAACTAAATATTCCTGAAGTTTCTCTTCAATGTCTGTAATATCCTTTAATGCTGTATCATAATCTGGGTCAAATCCAGCCTTAGGTGTGATCACTCCAGTCTTTCGAGCCTCATTATGATCAAAAGCAGTATCCCATCTTTTCAGTTCTGCACTCAGGTCTGGAAAACAGCCCTCTGGATTTTTAGACTTGAGGGTGACTAACTGCTTAAGTATTTTAGATCTGAAATCAGCAGCAATTTCTTCCATAATCTCTATGGTCTCAAGCATTATCTTAAATCCTTCCAGTGCAGACAAGAAGTCAGTGATCTTTTTTTTGCTGTATCTGGTTTCTTCATAAAAAATAGCCCTGTTGTCTCGATGAGTATCACTTTTAAGTGGTGATCCAATACTGTGAATTTTGTTCAGGAGCCTTTTAAGGTCTGGAAGTTTCTTCAGGCATTCACTAACTTCAAACATTTTATCAGGAACTGCCACAAGATCTTCAATTGCATCCAAACGATCATTGATAGAATGTGGATTACAGAGGGGTGCACATATCCACCGTTTCAAGAGTCGCTTTCCAAAAGGGGTACAACAAGTGTCAATCTTTTCCAGCAATGTGCCTTCTGTAGTGCCAGTAGTTCCATTCTGCAGGATTTCCAAGTTTGTTAGCGTCACCCCATCCAACACCATCCGCTGATTAGTTTTAGCAAAAAAACTGTTTGATCCCTTAGCTTTTGTAACATCAATATCCACAGGAACATACTCCTCAAAGTTTGCCAGAGATAAAAGCTCCTGATCAATAAGGCATTTCTTGAGGTAAAAGACACATCCACCAAGAGCTGACAGAGCTAACCCACAGTTTTCGGCAGGAGCAAGACCCAGGCTTTATGTCTAGACTGCAAAGAAAAGTTGGAAAAAGTTTCCTCTTTTTTTTCCAGAAGAGGCTTTTCCAAAATTTGGCCCATCTACACTCGGCCAAATTTTGGAAAAACCTCCTATTTTGGAACATCACTTCTTCCTCATACAATGAGTAATACAGGGATGCCAAAAGAACATGTGCACTTTTTCAGAAACAGTTTTGAAAAAGTGGGCACATTTCCTGGACGTGGCAGAACTTTTCCAGGATACCTCTGGTATCCTGGAAAAGTTCTGCATTGTAGACATAGAGTCACTTTCTAATGTGATAGATTTGATCACAGGAGGCAAAATAAACCCATTATCAACATTTTGCTTATCCTCAAAGTATCCCTCTTCAATTAGAGTTTTCAATGTTTTAGATGCATTCCAGAACTGGGTGCCAGAGATCAAGCCTTCTTGCATGGAAGACGACAGTGAGCCCTTTAGTATCTTGTGGGTGTCAGCAGACAGATTTCCCTTCTCAAACAGGATCTGCACAGGAGTGTAGTGTGCCACCAAAGTTCTGAATCTTGAGCAGTGGCGGTCATCTGGAAACTGGCCCACAGAAAATTTTCCCACTGATGTGTCAACAAAACAGACACCATATGCACGGTAGTGCCCAGATGAGTCTTCAACTTTTTCTTTTACACTGAGAAGGTATTTGTTAAGTTCCTCAGAAGGTTCACCATCCAGAACACCATAGGTCTGTGTTCCTTTGGTAATTATCCTGCATATTTCTCTGCGTACAACCCTGTCAAACTTCGTTGGGTGGGCCAGGGATCTGCAGCGTGCTTCCATCATCTCAGGAGTCTCTGTCTGCTCAACCCGGACTACTTTGTACCCCTTTTGTACTAGAACATCAGAAAATCTGCCAAATGCAATTTCTGGAAAACCTGAATGGGCCCAAATACCTTTCATAAATATCAGTCCCAGCTCATTTACACCAGTGACTGCATCCATATGATACAACTCATAGAACTTCCCAACTTTGTAGAAGATTACAGCATCAAAGTTTTGAGACTTTAGCTGCCACCACTTCCGCATTCCTGGGGTACACTTGTTAAGGTAGTCATCTGGCACATAAAGGGTACCTGGGTCATAATGAGGATCAGTTTGCCGTCTTCTACATCCATCTCTTTTTTTCCCTTCCTGAAGCCATTCAAGTTTATCATGTTCCCATATATTAGAACTACTAACTCCTCCACTGCTAACATTTGGCTGAGACTCAAAGTTTTCAGGTGCTACAAAAGAGGTAAGCCTTGACTTGATTTCTAATGAAATAGTTACCGCTCTTTTTGGTGTTTCAGGAAGGTCCTTTTCCAAGCTGTTCCTTTTAGTGGGCTTGAAGTCAGATTCTCTCTTTCGTTTAGAAGGGACTTTCACAGAACCATCTGTATCCATCTTTGTGTCTGACTCAGAGCTGGCAGATTCACCTTCCTCCAGTCTGCTGCTTGCTTCATCACTGCTTGCTTCATCTTTAGCATCTGGCTTAAACTCTTCATCTGAACCTTCATTATCACTGTCGGAGTCCAACACTCTTCGTTTTTTAGCTTTCCCGCCACTTCTCCACTTGCTTCCCAGCAGCTTTTTTTTTCTCTCCTCATCCTCGCTATCATAATCTTCACTGTTGCCAGAAGCACTTTCACTAACCTGTTGGAAAGCAAAAGGTAAATTGCTTAATCATCTACAAGGATAAAAAAAAGGAGAGAGCAATCATCAACTAATCTATTCTGTTGTCCAGTACCAGCAGTGTTTTTATAAACACTGATTTCATTTAACTATTTTAATTAAAAACAATTTTAACAAATAAATCTGATTTTAAAAAAATAATTTAGTTCAACATTCAAAAATTCATATGCTTGTTTTAAAATATACGTTTGCTGTTGAAGAAAAAAATTCCAGAATACTTAACATTGTTGTTTTAGTTAAATAAAACAATTTAAATATCCATCTGGTGATGTTCTAATACAGCATTAATAGGAAATCCTCCAAATATTAGTGATTAACCTGTTGAATTGGAAATAGTTCACCTTCCAATGACTTCATAAACATCTGCTTCCTTTACCTTTGGTAAATGAAATAACCAATCATTCATTTTCTGATATAGTTGTAAAACTAATCTGAAAAGTTTTCAAAAGAAACCACTGTTTAAAATGTATAATGTATAAAATGCCTAGTATGTACCTCTAAAAGTGAAACCTACATATATCTCTGATTTGCAACGAATATGTATTAAGGTTATAAACAAACAAGAATGCACTTTTATGTGGAAAACCATGATTAAATAGACTGTGATTTAAATCAATTTGATTTAATCAGGTCCATCCTGCAGTTAACTATAACATAAGTGAAACTATGTTGATGCTGTCCCACTGAATCTAGTGATGATAATCTATGTACAGTATTATATAGCTACTGCAGAGACGGCAATTAGGAGTCCACCAAAATTTGCAAAAATCCATGTTTGTAGTTAAATTCTGAAATTCATGTTTAAGCACTCCCCTCTTTTTTTAAAAAGAGAAGTCTTGGCCCTACTTTGTGGTCAGATGTACTTGTATCTGCCCTCTCCCGCACAAATATAGAACATTAAACCCAGTTTTCTTCTCTCCAGTTTTTAGTTACTGAATATTCAGAGCTTAATCAAAACCACTAGAAGATGTTATAAGTATCCCTTACCAGATGCACACTGTAATGGAATTGATTTATGTCTGACTGCTCATTTGTATTTACCATTAATGTCACCCGATATGCTACATGTGGACTGCAACTTATTATTGCAAGTCACCAGCTAAAATAAACCAGGAATAATTATAGCCTAGATCCCTTTTCAGAATTACAAACATGATTCTTCATGGTCCATGATTGTAGAGATCTTCAACAGAAAGATCTTAGATCTCACTAATTTCTTCATTCTTTAATCCATGCTTCAACAGAACCACCTCAAAATATAATACATTTATTATGGCTAGACAGCACGGCTACGTCTACACTGGCCCCTCTTCCGTAAGGGGCATGTAAATTTCAGCAGTCGTCGTAGGGAAATCCGCGGGGGATTTAAATATCCCCCGCGGCATTTAAATAAAAATGTCCGCCGCTTTTTTCCGGCTTTTAAAAAAGCCGGAAAAGAGCGTCTAGACTGGCCCCGATCCTCCGGAAAAAGTGCCCTTTTCCGGAGGCTCTTATTCTTACTTTGAAGTAAGAATAAGAGCCTCCGGAAAAGGGCACTTTTTCCGGAGGATCGGGGCCAGTCTAGACGCTCTTTTCCGGCTTTTTTAAAAGCCGGAAAAAAGCGGCGGACATTTTTATTTAAATGCCGCGGGGGATATTTAAATCCCCCGCGGATTTTCCTACGACGACTGCTGAAATTTACATGCCCCTTACGGAAGAGGGGCCAGTGTAGACGTAGCCCACTTGTATAGCATTCCATCATTCACAAACAGCTTCAGAGATAGATAAATATCCCCATTTTATAGGAAATCATTTACATGGGAATTCAGTGGTAAAATAGGAAACAGAGAACAAGTTTTAAGACTTCCAGTCTAGTATCCTATCTGCTACACCCAGCTGTCAGAACACCATCCTCAGCAGTGCAATGTAGTTAGTAGAGCATTACAGTAAGGCTCAGGAGTCCTGGGATTATAATCTACGTTCAAACATTTATCTACCAAGCCTGAGGGAGAGGCGAAGTAACTTGGCCCAGTTTCCCCATCTGTAAAATGAGCATAATGATATTGACCTCCTTTGTAAAGCATTGAGATCAACTGATAAAACAGTACCTATTAAACTAGGTATTAAATATGGGAAGGCCTGCAAGAATCTATCTCCTCATCACAACCATCCATCATAACCACAGCATTTTTAATTAACATATCCCAAATGCATTTTATGTCCGTCTCCAAGAGACAAGGGCTAGGTTCCCCAAACTTCTGCTGAAGTGGAACACAGCCATTAGGATATGTTTTAAGGTTATTTTTGTGACGAACACAACTAAGAGGTTCTGTGTTTGATGTTTTTCTTGAAACAAAATCTGTAACTGACTGTAAAATAATGCTACTAGACTAATTGTTGGGTTTTTTTAAGTTTTCCATAAAAGAATGGTTTCCTTAACAGACTTGAAAGACGAAATGGACATAGGGTGAGATGTATTGCCATGGATTGCAAACTGGCCAGGAAACATGAGTATGAACAAACACTCAATTTTCCACATACATGACAGAAGTTTGCCAGTGAGGGTGCCCACATATCTTCATTAAGACCAATGATTTATATGGACCATTTGCACAAGAAAAGCATAGGGAGCAATTATGGAACATTCAAAGGCATGCAGAAGAATCAGAGAAAATACTGCATGAGACATATACAGGAATAAAAGTCTCAGAAGGGTAACTGTTACTCTAACTTAAAAAAAAAAAAAAAGTAGTCCTGTAGCACCTTAGAGACCAACAAAAATATACGTATGGTATCATGAGCTTTCATGGGGAAACTCCACTTCCCCACATGAGTAAGGTGCTACAGGACTATTTTTTAAT